GCATGCTTCACATCGGTAATAAGAGAATTCTCAGACTTCGAGAAGACCCATTTGCCTGTCATGAGAGGTTGGGAGGTCTCCTTGGTTGATGCAAAAGCAGCACGACCAGGGAAAGTGCGAGCAGTATCCAAGACCCTCTCAACTTCAGATGCAAAATGGGAGGTCTGGTCTCGCCCAAGAGTATCTTCAGCGGCAGGTCGGGTCCCTTGTGGGAAAGGAAGTCCTGAGGTCGATGAGGCATGCAGTGGGGATGGCAGGGCCTTCTGGATAGAGACAGAGGCAAAGGAAGTACCCATTTTTTGAATCTTAGCTCGAGTAACTAGGCTCCCACCAGAACTGTCCTCAGCCTTACGCTTGGTACCACTTTTGTTTTTCTTCTTGAATAGCTCTACCTTAGCTTGGAGCATCTCAGGGGTAGGCTTCATTGTAGAAGACCCTGGGAGATTTGACTTAAGCTGGTTAGTCAAAAGGAAAAAGAAAGGGAGGAAAGCAATGAAACCAAATAAGGTAAAGAACATTACCTTCTACGTCCTCAGGTCGGATAAAGGAAAGTGGGGTTGGAGGAGGACCGAATCCCTACCTTTCTAATTCCCAGGGCTTAATGAGCTTAGAGTACCTCTCTGGATTACACTAAGCTAACTTCAGCTTCATCCGCTTGTCCTCGGCGCTGAGTTCAGGTCGAATGCCTAAAAAAAAAAAAAATGCAGAGGTCAGGAAAGCAACTCATAAATCTTCATACCGCAGTTCAGTCAGGAAAGAACTCACTTAAGTTATCTGGAGCTGTCCAGGCTTTGGGAATCCCAAGAGTGTCTGTTTTATCAGCAGGGTTGTATTCTCAGTTGACACCCCAACGAAAAAAAATTCTTTTTCCAGCCTTTATAAGAACTCATGAGGTGTGTGATGATCTACCTAGACGAGGTCCGCCTAGAAACATATAGAAAGCCCTCAGTTGAGGTAAGCTTGACATTAAAGAGGTCCATAAGTAGAAAAATGGTGGGAGTCCCAAGTCCATGCTTCTTAAAAAAAACTAAAAGACCCACTAAAACACTCCAGAAGTTGGGAGAAAGCTGAGCAGGGCAGACATTGAGGTGCTGCAGAACATTTTTGATGAAGGGGGTGCATAGGGAAACAAAGGCCATTCGCGAAAGTGGCCACAAAAAAATAAACTCTTTTGTGCACTTGGGCAACGTATGGGGTGAGTTTATTCGGACACCAGGGCTGAACACCAAGGGAAAATCCAAAACGAGCACTAAGAGCTTTCATGAGAATAGGATCCACCCCACTGGGACCCATGAACTCAGCATGCCTGAAGACAACCCCCATACCCGCTTCACTATCAGGAATCCCAACCTCACTCACCTTGCCCTTACCCTTTTCAGCACTAGGAGGTACAGGAGAGGAAGATGAGGGGAGTTCCTTGGAGTCCACCTCGGTATCGACAGCCTTAACACTGGGGAAGTTGTCAATCTCATCACCTACATCCCCTAAGTCAGAATCTCTCTTGGCAGACCTGTCGCCTAGGAGGGAAACAGAGTAGGGAGTTGCTCCATAGGAGGCAAACATGATTGGCAAAGAGAAAGGCAAGTCGAAAGAACTATAAAAAGGAGGAATACTGACTAAACACCCCCTGATAATCCTAGAGTCAGCATTGTACCTCCCAACAGTAAGAATTCGCACAGTGGAGTTCCAATCCACAAAGCGGGGAAGAGGAGATAGGCAACGATCGCGATTCCAAAAGAAAAAGAATTGAAAAACCCAGAAAAACAATAGCCACCTCGAAGTCAAGGGATCCAGNACGAAAAAGAATTGAAAAACCCAGAAAAACAATAGCCACCTCAAAGTCGAGGGATCCAGAATGAGGAAAGGCAAGAGAAAGAGAAAGAGAAAGAGAAAGGGGCAGAAGGATGCGTAACTAGACAGAAAAGAGAGCAAAAAACAGCAGCCAAAGAATAAAATTAGAGGAGAAGAGCAAAGCAGGACTTCGACTCGAACCCAGAAAGCATAGTTTTGAGCACAGAATAAGAGAATCGCATGGAGGAAAGCCCAGAAATCACAGAGAGAAAGAGCAGGAGACAAAGGTGAATAGTGTAGAAGATAAACGGTGGTTCTGTACGGTTTTTGATAACCGTTTGAGCATTTAAGTCTTGAAAAACATAGGATGAAGCGTGCACAGGAACCAAGGGAGCCATGATTGCTATAACCGTCGAAAAGCCCCTCCAACGTGCATCCCACACGCGGACTAAGATCAGCTAGGTGCAAGTCTGGTCCAAGGTAAAAGCAGCTCAGCCCATGCCCAAGCTCGCTTGGGCCAAAGGCTGGGGGGCAACTGATGATGCCTAAAATAAATTTCAAGTGTTAGCTCAAAAGTTCAGCTCAGACCGGGAGGTCAGACATATTATCTGAGGTCAGAAGGCAAGGGCTGAATGTCTCTTGAGGCAAGGCAATGGCTGGATAACCAGGAGAGGTTCCTAAAGCGTTAGGAAGCTATAATCAAGGCACCTAATCTCAACCAACCAAAATCTTCTCCTAAAATTAAGGAGAACCCCACGAAGTAAAGGCAAGAATCTCGACCAAGATCCCACTAAATAGGGAACAACCCTCTAAATACTACGTAACGCCCCCAAAGAGGAGGGAGGACCCTAGAGGTAAAAAATAGTCATTGTTCTCATGTAATCATCATTGTTGAAAGGCAAGGAGCAAGAGTCTCCATTAAAGAGTGGATTAACCGAGCTCCCGAGCTGGTGAACCACTATACTTCTTCTATCTTAATCCTCTCAGCCCCTAGAAAAACATTTCTTTCATTATCACATCACTATTACTGCAAAGCATAAATTATGATTCATTACTCATACAATTCGGTTTACGCTATCACTTTTAAAAACATTTGTAGCTAAAATAAAAAATAACTCTTTTAGAGTTGAAGAGTTTTCTTCCCTAACTAAGGAAACCAACGTTAAGATATCCAAGAGACAACAAATGCTCTATTTTCTCTAATATTAGTGCTGAAATTTGCATGATTTGAGGATACAATTTTAAATTCAAACAGTGTACACATTATCTACCCGAAATTCAATTTTGTCGTACTACCACATTACAAAGAAGGGTGTTAAAAAAATCCATTATTTTTGAGGTTTTCACTGTGAAGAACACGTATTGTCAACATCGTTGGACTCATTGGAAAGAAAATGAGGGTTTCATTGTGAATAAAATGAGGTTTCATCTCACTGTGAAGAAATTTGTAGACTTTCACTATGAAGAATATATACAACCGCCTATCTTTTTTAACATATATTTTTTATAATGTTCATAACTAACCAATTGCTAATAATAGCAAAAAAATTATGTAAAAGCAATGTGACATTATCACAATTGCTAGTGTTAATGTCACACTGTAATAGCGATAATGTCACATTGTAATAGTAATAATGTTACACAACATAGTGATAACGTTAAATTATATTATAGAATGATATGTGAAGTCCCAAAAAAAATAAGAAATTGAATCCCAACTAATATTGTGGGATAACTATAAGAAGGGGGGATTCAAAATTCAAATTTGTTGTCCTAAAAAAAAAAAGGAATTGAATCCCACAATTTAATGCCTAAAAAATAAAATATTTAGAAAACAACCAATGTGTATCTGCTCACAACACATTCCTAAAAAAAAAAGACATATACATAAAAGAAAATTCGTATGACACTTTCCCACAAATAAATAGTATACGGTGTAGCTATCTACAATTTTCCCCTGAAAATATTGTTTGTGATCCAGGCATATGGGCTGGGTGGTAAGTGACAGTTTAAGGCTTGGCTAAACATAACTTGTTTAAGGTTAGTTAAGAAGCTTAAATCTCCATGTCCAAGACCATCTTGCCGTCTCGTATTCTCAAGTCTATGTTCTAGTGAGGCCTTTGATTGGGTCGTGGCCCAAAATTTAACTCGGGCTCGGCAATGGACCATATCTCTAAAACTTTCTCTCGATTGGTCCAAAAGTAGGAACAAAACGAATTGAATCCAATTGATAAGAAATATGGTATGAATATCTCTGGAGGTGGTTCAGTGATTAAGTTTGTTTTCTTGTAAATAAAAAATCTTAAATTCAATATTTTTTGTATTTTTTAAAGGCCAACTATCCTTATTTCTTAGGAAATATGTCTTTAAATTAGTTTAAATTATGGTGGCCGACTTAGAGTTCGAATGAAAAGTCGGCACAAACTTAAATATCATGACCTTTAAAAATATATATATATATATATATATATATATATATATATATATATATGAGAATTGTCAAAATTTGATCATAAAAATAGTGTTACGAATTTAATTATACATGTCTAAATTTAATACTATTTGAATTCAACTATACACATTTATAAAATAAACACAATATAACTTGAATACAATACAAATTGTACTTGTTAATAGTTTTCTCATTGTCAATCGGAGTCATTGAGATGTACCAAATTAGAAGACAACGTTAGCAAACAATACTTGAATTTCATAATCTCAATATAATGTTATACCATTCCAAATTCCCAATGACCCATGTGGCTTATATCAAAGCACAGAAAATTTGAGTGCTTGTAAAATATGTAATAGGACTTACATAATTACTTGAACGGTTGAACCCATCCCAAAATAAAACTAGTGGGGTCCATGGAAAGCACATGTACGCTGCTGCATTAGATCACTGAGATCACCTCAAGTCCTCGCCAAGCTTCCATTCTCTATCCTCAACAACTCCGACAAAAAAAACAACGTGGCTCGAAACAAAGGCCCTTCATTACATGCAACCCCTGCATGAGCAGCAATCAACACGTGACATGACTCCCTAAACACGTGCCACCCTCCTCTCTCCCCCACCCCACCCCACCCCTCCTCCTTCATTCATCCTATAAAAGTCACACATCATCCTTCAATTCCCCACTCAAATAGGTACTAAACCCTTCAAATACACCCTTAATTTTCTTCTTCTGGTTCCACATTCAAGCTTCAAAATGGCTGAGCATCTGCGTCAGCAGCAGCAGGAGCAGCCACGGTCATACCAGGTGGTGAAGGCCGCCACCGCTGCCACGGCTGGTGGTTCCCTCCTGGTTCTCTCCGGCTTGACACTTGCCGGAACTGTGATATGTCTCACTCTGGCCACCCCTTTGCTGGTCATATTCAGCCCAGTTCTTGTACCGGCGACGATTACTGTGTTCCTGATAATCTCTGGGTTCTTGGCTTCCGGTGGGTTCGGCGTGGCGGCGCTGTCTGTTCTTTCGTGGATCTACAGGTACGTGACAGGTAGGCAGCCACCAGGGGCGGAGCAGTTGGACCAGGCTCGGATGAAGTTGGCTATGAAGGCTCGGGAGATGAAGGACAAGGCTGAGCAGTTTGGACAGCAGCATACGGGTCAGCAGGGTTCCTAAGCTAGGTCTGCATGCATTTGATCTAGACCTCACTTTGGTGAAGATCAAATGGGCCACATTGCTAAGTTTGTTAAATGGTTCACTGGCCATCCTCAATGTGTCTTTTTTTTTTTTTTTAAATTTGTTGTGTGTGTTCTTTAAATTTGCTGCTTGTGGTTTGTTCAGTTTGTTGTGAGTCATATATTGTAATCTTTGGTTGATCTTTTGTCACCCAAAAAATTGGAAAAAAAAAAAAAACAGTAATAATAAAAGATTGCCATTCAACCCATTCCCAACAACATTTCGTATTTTTATTAAATAGTGTTATGGAAATCTAAAAAATTGAACATAATTTTGGATGTAATGTTGTAATTGTCTGCTATTTTTTTCATCAATTATTCCACCGTGGACAATTGACATTGGAGATTGGGCTATAGGCCTTGTATATGCTCAACAAAATGTTATTTAAATTAAATTTATTAATTTTATTTATTAATATAATACATCGTAACCATTGAATTGAGCCCGCCATTTTTTTCTGATAAGTTATTTCGCCCTATTCGATCCGTGGACAATTGACATTAGAGATTGGGCTAAAGGCCCTGTGTCTGCCCAACAAAACCCGACACCTTTCACCAGCAGTTCGCTTTTGTTGGGCCTCTTTGATTTTTTATGGGAGTTTTAAAAGCTGGTACACCTAATTAGAACAAAATATTTTGAAAAAAAAAACACGTATGAAATACAAAGACGTAAATGTTCATTTTAGGATTATTTAATTTAAAATTTCTTATCTTTAATGTACTTTGATTCATGTGTTTTGTTAATATATATAAATTCGTATATATATATATATATATTTGTTATTAAATCTCTTATTTAAATTTTGAATTATTTTTAATGCACCTTAATTCATGCTTATTTTTATTTTATTTTTTTGGAAAGTGATTTTGTTTTCAAATATATTTAATGCGTTTTTTTTAAAGTATTTTATTTTTAAATTAATTTAATATCCAAATAGTGTAATAGTGTAACAATAACAGTGTAGCAATAACAGTGTTCAGTAATTTTGTGAATGTGGTAACAAATTCAAAACGGAGATGAATTATTTTGAATGAAATTATATGAAACTATATGTTTGACAAAATGTAATAGTACAATATTTTGTGTAAATAGTTTGTTACACGGTTATTGTTACATTGTTGTTGTTACACTATTCGGATATTAAATTAATTTAAAAATAAATTCACTTTAAAAAAAATGCATGAATCGAGGTGTATTAGATATAATTTGAAAACAAAATCACTTTCCAAAAAAAAAAAAATACGCATGAATCAAGGTGCATTAAAGATAATTCAAAATCTTATCTAAAAGATTTAACAACATATATATATATTAAAGTTCTCTCGTAAAATTAGGAGATATTTAATGTACCACTTTTCAAAGAAAAAACACATGAATTAATAAAGGGAAAAAATGTCACAAAAAAATCATTAAAATTTAAATAATGTACTTAGATACAAATAAGTATAAACCCAATATTTTTTTTTGTGTATTTTTTTACAATTAAGTCTAATTTAGTGTATCTCCGTCCAATTTTCCCATTTTTTATTAGTCTCCTGTTCAAAAGCTTCAACTTTATGTTCAAGTCACCTATATGGGCCTTTTCCATTTCAATCCTTTTTGGTCTTGTTGGGTCTTAAAAATGACTAAGTACCATATAGCTATTAAGCCGACAAATCAAGTCTTCATCCTCAACCCTTTATGAATTATGAGTGCTAAATCTAATACATTATTTACTATTTTGAATAAAAATTATAATTTTACGAAAAAATTCATAGGCATATCTATATAATAAAACACATAGTAATTTGAATTTTTATCTCCTACATATTTCTTCTCTAAAAATATTACACCACTCATTTCTATCATATGTTTAATCATTTATATATTTCCCTCTAAAAACATCGCGTCACTCATTTTTATCATATATTTAATTATTTAATATTTGATTAATTTGTAGTTGATATAATTTTTATTTCAAATATTATTCATATACGATAATATATACATGTTGAAAATATTTAATATAATTGAATCGATTTTTGGACGCTCAAATTTTATATTTTATCGTACTTTCAGGGACGAGTTATGACTAGTACCATAATATAATGTTGAAGATTACAAATGATTGAAAAAAGAAATTCAAATTAAGGCTGTTATGTCATAATATAACGCGTTAGGGATATGTAAACCATTAACGGAGGACAAGAGAAATCCAAACCTTAAAGATCGTGATTATTACTAAGGATTATCATGTTTCAAAAGATGAAAATTTTTAATTCGGGTACTCTTAGCCCTTCGGACCACAAAAACACAGAGCCATAATCTATTTATCTAACTCTAAAAAGTTGAGTATATAGTAACGAGAACGACATAGATTTCTTGAATTCGAATCTTGATAATTTTATAGAATTAAACCATAAAATATTTATTCTACATGAATTCTTTAGTCATGACGTGGATGACTTGTTTGCTACTCGACCGATGAAAAGATTAGTCGAGGCGCGCAAAAGTTGACACAGACATTCCCTGACCATCGAAAAATAAAATAAAATCTATTTATCTTTTTTTTTTTTNGATGTATCATCATATATATAAGAGGACTATGTGTGTCTATTGACAGTATCAACCCTAGTGAACAATGCAAGGAAACAACACTCTAATAATTTTTATAAAATATTTGTCAAAATTAAGAAATTGCAATGGAAATTCCCCGCCAAAGAACAGAAATTCTGCCACAATCAAGCCTCTATTGAACTTAGGAGGACAATAGAGTTTATTAGCTTCATTACAGAAGAAAAACAGCACAGTATTTTGTTTTTAAGACTTTATTATTATATTTCCAGGTCAAGGCCAGACCCTTGTAGCTTCATAAGGGTAGTTTGATTCAGCATCTCCTCCATCTCTGGTGTCAAGTAGTTCTTCCAATCCCCAACAGCACCAACCCTGAAATAACAACTGTTTGGCACAGCATACAAAACTGAACCTTTCTTGTTTACCTCCAAATTCTCAAGCCTCTCAAAGCTACACCTCCATAACACCTTATCAACTTGCTCTTCCTCAGTGAATGGCCTCCCCAGAAATGAAGCTAATCTTTTAGCCTGCCCTTTGGGGTCTCTTTTCAGCTCTTCATACTTCAAAAATAGAATCTTTTGAGGCCTCTTTTGGCTCTCCAGCCAATATTGTAAAACATGGTCAAAGAATGGCCCATATTGGTGAACCCCATTGCAGAAGCGCTCAACTGCTTTTTCCAAAGGGAATGGTTCTTGGTTGGGTCTTAAAATGGAGTTGAAAAAATGCCACAATGACACAAGTGTGTCTTTTGGGTTCCGGGCTATGTAAACAATTTTGCAGTCTGAATTTTTGATTGAATCTGGTAGGAGATTGTACGGCAAGTGACTGTGAAAAAGCCTAGGAGAAGGCATAGAGTGGAGATCAGGATGGGGTTTTGTTGCATAAATCGTGGTCTCAACTGTTTGAACATGAAAATGTGGACTGTCTTTTGTCAGAATATCCTCACCCTCTTTCTCAGCATTACTGCATTGGTTGTGCATTATGCATAAACAAAGGGCTTTGAGCCATGTTGTACCTGTTTTCATGGTTGATGCCAAGAGAACATCGTCGCAGCGTGCTTCAAAGCTTGATCGGAAGGTCATTGCAGGCTTCACGAGGCCAGGTTCAAACCAGAAGCCTTCCCACTTGCATATATCCATGGCTTCCCAAAACCGCTCTCTGGGTAGCTCTTGAAGCAAGGCCTCTTGTGAATTAGGATCGGGATTTGGGTTTGATGACTCTTCATTGGCCATGGTGGGGATGAATATGCAAGACTATTGGAGTATATCAAGGCACTGGGAGTGTGAGACCTTGCATGGTTATATAGTTCAAGGCTTTGGATTCTCTGTGCTGCAAATTTTATAATTTCGAGTTGTCAATGGAACAGTCAAGGTGACCTTTTCCTTTTGTCTTTGCCTTTTTATCTGACAATAATAAGAAATTGAAGATGCATCTGAACTTTGGAGGAATTTCCGCTGTTACTAATATTAAAATTTAAAAACAGGACATGATGGTGACCATGATGACCAAAATGCTCCTGTGATTAGCCATGGGAAAGAGGTCCTAGGGTAGAAATATTCTCTTAGCTATATACATTTTTCAATTTTATTGTTGTTAATGTTATTTTGATTTATATTTATAATTACCCCTATAATTCTGCAACAAAAAGGAAAACAAAGCAGACAGACTAGGTGGCTGATCAAGGTTGACTAGCTCTGCAAAAGAGTCTGTACAATGTGAACTTTTAGATACAATAATACATTAAAACAATGCTGATTGTTCGAAGGCCATGGCCTCCCCATGGTTTTGAAAATACTCTTTCAATCACACTTGTTACCGTTCTTATATATAAAATACACGGGGTTTTAAATTGGACCAATACTATATGAATTTAAACAATAAACTTACAATGTGTACTTAATATTTACAATCATTAATTTTACTATAAATCACATTTTAAATCTAAATAACATTTTTCTTTAAACTGATACGGCTCCTCCTTTAGCGTTCTAAAAAAAAAAGAAGGTTCTATTTTCCAATGTACCAAAAAAGAGAAAAAAATAAATTTTGGCCATTGCCACCAGAACCTTAAAGGGTAGTAGACTTGACAAACGGCCATTTAGCCCAAAGACACACATGACCCATAAAATGGGTAAGACCACGTTCCTGGCCCGCTAAACCTGACAGCTTGACCCAATTTCGGCATTCGAAGGTGGTCTGGTGGCCTGAAAATAGGTCAAACTAGATCCAGATGGAGCGGCCCAGTAGATAATCTCCTAAAAGCTTATTAGTACTCACTTCATCGTCATGCACCAAGTCGTTGAATCTCTAAACTGACTAGTCAAATCTTGTCATGGCCAAGTGTATAGTGTATCTTTTTAAAAAAAAAAATCAGGGCCGGTACACAATATTGGAACTATGGGAGAAAAGGTACATTTTTTAAAAATATTTGTAAAAACGTTTACCTACTATAACTAAAGTTCAAAATACCATTTTTTTAATTTGCAAAGTTTTCTACCTGTCTAAAAAAATCGATGAAAATAATGGGAAGAGACAGAGTTTGGTTTCCTAAATTAAAGAATAACTAACTATTTGAATTTCGAAAGGATTCCATTAGTTTTAAAAAAAATTCTTATTCTTTCTCTATCTAATTTTCACCGTTGCGATATATCTCTTTCCCTATTTGCTCTTTCTCTATCTTCTCTCTCTTTCTGTCTCTCACTCTCTCTTCCTCTATTCTCTCTCACAATGTGGTATCAATGTCACAGTGCATATAGATATAATATACAAAGTTTGCATGTGAATGGTATCATATTGTGATTCCAATGTAACACTGCAAAACAAACATCTTTGTTTTTTCATAGAGTGGGTATTACACAATGTCACTTAAATGTAACACTGCATAAAATAGAGAGAGAAAATAAGGGGAATGAGAGAATAGTGAGAGGAGAGTAACGATGGGAGAGAGAATGAGGTTTGAGAGCGAAAATAGAGAAAGAGAAAGAGAAAATAGGGAGAGAGAGAGAGAGAGAGAGAAAAAGAGAATTAAAATAAAAAGATAGAGATATTAACGGTGAGAGTCAGATATAGAGAGAAAATAAGAATTTTTTTTAAAGTTAATAGAATCCTTTTAAAATTCAAACAGTTAATTATCCTTTAATTTAGGAAACCACTTAACTAGAAAAATATAATTAAAAAAAATAAAGAAATTGGTCCAATAAAACGAAAAACTGAATTCGACAATTAACTGCCTAAATTATGTTCCACGAATAAAGGAAAAAGATTTTTACGTAAATGAAATATTTAAAAAACAGATAAAGTGTATCTATTCACAAAACATTTACATGAAAAATAACTTATACACATAAAATTTATATTAAGGTACTTCTTCACAAATAAGTAGTGTATAGTGTATTTTTTCACAATTTTTTCTTTTTTTTTTTTAAGAAAAATTTAGAGGTTCGTCCCTATATATAAACTTATTTGGTGATAAGTTTGCTAAGAAAACTTATTTATTATGAAATCCATTTTTTGTCAAATTGTCCAAACTATCACTTGCTTTTGGAATTCCACTAAATGTTGTTTGAAGAATCCCTTTCACAATCGGAAGTCATCAATTCCTCCGGCAATAGATGCCTACAAATCCGACCAAGTTTCTTCCTTCTCCGACTAAAATGTAATCAAAACTTTTCAAAAACCTTTCACATTCAAATTTTAAAATGAATCCATTGAGTTACTACTATATTCAATTTGCTTTCTCCAGTTTGTTGTGGAAGCCATTGAAGAAGTTGATGTTCATTCTAGAGTTTCAAAACATTTTCTACATTTTCGGATTCAAAATTAGAGTTTAGGTATGTGATGTTATTGGAAAAAAAATTATGTTGTTTGTGTGGTGAAAAAATTTCGAAATTACATATTCTAGGTTTCAAATTTCTCATTGTTTTATGTTTTTTCTAATTCAACGTGCGATTCAGTATTACAAAATTAAATAATATAATTTTTCAATTTGTGAATCGTTTGTTAGGAAAAACAATCAAAAATTGCTTAGTTGTTGTCGATATCTTAATATTGTCAATTATTATTGTTTTCTAATTCAACTTAAGATTATGTGTTACTAATTAAAATAATGTAATTTTTTAATTTGTGTATCGTTTCTTGTAAAAAATAATCTAAAATTGTTTCGATATTACTGTGGAAAAAATAGAGATGGTACTGTGGGCAAAAAAAAAATTGATGCTCCATATTTGATTTCCAAAAATTTCACATAGTTGTTATTGGCTTAAATTAGCTTTATGATTCGGTGTTACTTATTCAAATAATGTAATTAATATTCAACAAGAACTTTGAGTCATTATTTGTTATTAATTTACAAATTGTAAATGATGTTATTGACTATGATATTACAAGTATTTGACTTAATTGTTCATGTTACTTTTGGCTTACACTGCTCATTTTATTGAACTGTTGTTACTATACTAACATCAAATATTATGAAAAACTTGTAATCGATCATTACTAACATAAATTAAGCATTCTTAAATTCACTCACCGACTTCTATACATAGTGATTTGCAATTAATGTCTTTAAGTTTTCATAACAGACCAAAATAACATTGTTGAGTGTATTTTTGAAATTAAAAAAAAATGGACTTAACTTCTTATTATTAAGATAAAAAATAGATTTATCACTAATTAAATTTCCTTGACGACTCAAGTTAATATAAGTCCATCAAAGAGGACTCAGTCACAATTTTAATTTTTTTTTTTGTTAACAAGGAATCTCAGTAAAATAGGATCGCTTTTGGATCCATTCTTACAAGAGAAAATCCCAAATACCTATAATTATCTAGCGCCTTTTTAAAAGGATGCTCGATAAACTTCACAAAACCCAGTCTTATTAGATTTCTTTTTTTGGATCATGTTAAAAATTCTTAGAACGATTCCAAAAGAAAAGCTATCAAAAGTTAATCTTGAAAGAGAAAAGGACAATTGAGATCTAATATAAATGTTCATTTTCAACCGTACACCTCATGGATTGAATCCATCCTATTATGACATAACTATTCCTTTGAAATCAAATGATTGGTAAATCTCATGGGTGAAAATCCACTTATAAGAGAAAAGCGTTCAAGGGTGAAGAGTTTATATTTGTCATTGACAAACACTTATATAATCAAAGCTTCACAAAAATAGGAGTTTAAATTTGCAACCAGCATACATTTTTTCTTTAGCATAACTGTAGGGTCGTAAATCAAATTAAATTAGTTATTAGTTTCAATCGTCCTCTATTATCGTCTGTTGTTTTCATCCCAGGACAACCTATACCTCTAAAGTAGTGTTCTTGCCTTTTTTTTTTTCTAGTTGGAAACTATGCATCATGAATTGCAGCGTTTCATTGAACTCTTTCTTGCTTGGGCGCCTGCTCCTTCTTTCTATTCTGTAATCTCGTATGACAGCTTGAGGTTTCCTATTTCACTTTCACCCGCCATTGGAGTCCCCAACACCAGTAATTGATAAAGTTCTCAATTTAGTTCAAGTAGCATTTTTGTCGTCTTCTTTTCTTTCAAAGGAATGCACATTTATCTCATATTCACAGGTCACACGCCATCTTGATTCACATATCTTTCAATAGATCCAAAGCCCATCTCACATTAGCAACATGGGTATCCACTGCCTGATTCTGAACAGTTATTAGTAATTTATTCCGGTCATTCTTAATGTATTGAGCTGCTGGAACGGGCTCCGATGCATAATGACGTCATTAATCCGCCATTGAGACCTTCTTTCTTTTCCAAAGGAAATGGGCTCACATCGAACCTCATTCTCCGATCAGGCAAAGGAGTCGACCTTCCGAACACAAAATGGTCTGGCATTGCATCTAATCTCGTCCTGTACTTCTACGGGAGCAGCCAGTCTGTCATTAACATTAATTAAGGACTTTCATGCTTAGGATATTGTCTAGTCAATCACGGGATTTCTCATATCTTGAACAACCAATACTCTGACATTGGCCCCTCGCGCACTACGCGTTTCCGCAAATGGGACATGAAATTGCAGCGTAGTTGTATTGATCCTCGATTCGGGGCATCATGCACAAAAACCGTGGTTTACACTGTTTAACATTTTTAAGATGATAGAAAGTTCTTTAAAGGTAACTGGTGATATTTTTATACAGCTGAAAATGCAGGGAAAAAAGCAAACAAATTGCATGCAAGTGTAGACAGTGCTTCTAGGGTTCCAATTCAAAGTTTAA